GTATTATTTCATGTTGATATATAGCATTTTTATATGATATAGCTTCTGGACTATCAGGTAATGGAAATTGTCGACTAAAATACACAAACAATTTTTTTTGTTTTTTCTATAATTAATACATAAAAGAAAATCTATAAAATTACTTTGGATCATTACGATCTTTCATAGCTCGTATTGTACATTCAGTTAAATCACATTCTAATTCGAATAATTTAAATGGAATAATACCTTTTTCAACAAGTAATTCAACATGTTTTTTTGTTAAAGGAAATCCATCAAGAATAAAACTATGTAAAATAAAAAGAATAATTGATTAAGTTGATTTTTTTTTTCAAGTCTCTTTTTTTACCCTCGTGTTTGACATTTTGCATTCATAAGTGCAACTTCCAAACAACGAATTGCTGTTTCAGGTATTATATCATTACCTTTAACAAGTATTTCTTGCATTTCTTTACCAAGAATTGTATGACGTTGTTTTTCTAATATATATCGAATAGCATCACCCTAATCGAAATTATATTCATAATAAATTTGAACTAATCAATTAAACTTACCAATGATATACGAACACATCCCATTTCTTGAACGATACGCTTGGCAACTATTCAAAACACAAATAATATTTATTTATATGAAGATAAAAAGAAAATTCGGCTCACGAAGAAACATTTTCAACTGTCAAATCCTTTTTGAATTCGGACTTTGTGCATAAGATAGACCTTAGTGAGATATGAAAAACCTCAAGATCTGTCCATAGTTATAGGCATTTTACTAGAAATTTAGCCTAGGGCATGGTATATACGAACAAATTGAATGGTGGCGCTTCAGTCCGAAATTTTACCCATCGATAGGTCTATTAATGATTAGAATGCCCTGAAAATTCTGAGCGCAAAAGAACATTTCCTTCCCGAGATATTAGCATCCCAAAAATAACTCCTATAGGACAACAAATGCTAGGATTTTCTGTTTTTTGGGAGTTTAATATCTCTGTAAGAAAATGTTCTTTTATACTAAAATTTTCAGAATATTCTAATTATCAATAGATCTGCCAGTGGGTAAAATCTCAGATCGAAATGACATCATTCAATTTGTTCGTATATACCATGCCCTAGGCTAAATATGCATACTAGAAGGTATTTCATGATCTATGAAGGAATCCAAGCTTGTACCCTTATACTTCAACACTGTTTTTAGATTGTGTTTTTTCAAAAACAAAAACTAAACAAACCGGTTGTTTTGCCAGATTTTGGTGGACCAATTATAGCAATTTTAGCTGGAATGAGTGATTTTGGTGGTGGTTGACGTATATAAAACATTGGATTTTTAATAAATTCATTTCGTGCTTCATCATCAGTTAAAAAATAAACATATTTTCGATAGACAACTGTACAAGGAGATTTATCAAGTCCAAATGGTGGTGGAAAACAATCACCATTATGTAACTAAATATTTTAAAATAAAAATCAATAAATAAATAAAAAGAAAAACGACATACTGATACAGGACAAAATTTTCCAAATTTTGAATAATGTAAATATCCTATATCAATTAATTTTTGTGCTAATTGAGCTTTTATTGGATAAACACGTTCAAATAAATTTTG